ACTAGTGTATGTGATTGAAAGTAATAAAGCTACATTCTTAAACCTGTTCTTCTGTTTGGATTTTCTAATGACCTAGACAGATCTCTTCCTCTAGTTATATTTGAAATTAACTTTTATTGTCTTGCTTTTTGCCTTCTAGTTGTATCTCTCCATTTTTGGTTTATAGATCTTTGTACTCAGCTCTTGCTCTCTTGTCCGTCTTCCAATCTGTACCTCATATGGCTGCTTACTCTAATTTATTTTATTTTATTTTTATTTTAGCCTTGTGGGGTACATTTCAGAATTAGGTATATAGTGGTATCGTACAGGTGAAGTTTGGGTGTCCTTACTTGCTAATTCAAATCCTTAATATCAGTACTCTAATTCGTGTTCAGTACTTGCCAAAGTGCTCTCATTTGGCTTCTTGTTCTTCATTCTCTTTCCCCTCATCTTTGGTTCTCTACTGTTTCCATGTAGTTTCTGGATTTTTGTATTATTCCTGTTCTCTGACTGATATGGTTAGAACTGCAAGGTTCTGGGGACAATTGGAAAGTAGAAGCATAGAAAGAATTGACATGTATCTAATACCTACTCTGAGCTAGGTGATTTGCTTTTATCATTTAGTTCTCATAGCCCTCTTATAAGATGTAGGTATGTTTTATTATTATCTCCATTTTATTCATAAGTACACTGAAGCTCAAAGTGGTTAAATATTTCTTTCTAATTCACAGAGCAACTAAGTAAAGTCATCTTAGCAGATAGGTTCATTTATTCATTCATTTCTTTATTCACCAATATTTGTTGAGCACATACTATGTGTTGGGCACTGTGGTAGGTGATGAAACAGATCCAACTCTTATTCTCATGGATGTTAACTGTGTAGTGACATTGTCTGACTTTACAGATGATGATCTTTCTATCTTTCTACTACTATGCCAGAGCTTAAGAAAAAGAGAAGATAAAAAGGAAATAGAAGAACTTTAATGTTTTAGGGAAAATATTGTTTGATATAGGTATGAGAAGGACTATATTTGTGCATTATTTAAGAATATCCTATTGAAAAGATCAGTTTGTGTCTAGTTCTGTAGAGAAGTTGACATCTCCCCTCCCCCAACCAATTCACCACCATCAAACACTAGCACCTTTCAGTGGCAGCACCATAATGTTTTGTTTTGTTTTTTATGTTCTAAAATATACAAGCTTTGTGTTTATAGGCCCAAATTCTCCGAAAGATCTTTAGAAAAAATTTACTGTCTTGTCTGAATTATGTTTAGAAAAAGATGAAGAACTCTATGTAAAGAATGTAGTTGACTCTCCAGAACTCTCAAATACTATGTTTTCTATTTTTTTTTTTTCTTTTTTAAAAAAATGAGGCCGTGCTCTGTCACCCAGGCTAAAGTGCAGTGGTGTAATCATAGCTCACTGCAGCCTTGACCTCTGGGGCTCAAGCAATCCTTCCATCTCATCCTCCCGAATATCTGGGACTACAGGCATACCCACCACTCCCAGCTAACTTTTTTTTTTTTTTTTTTGAGTTGGAGTCTCACTCTGTCGTCTAGGCTGGAGAGCAGTGGCGTACTCACAGCTACCCCAGAGTTGACCCGCTGGACTCTGGCGATCCTTCCACTTCCGCCTTCCAAGTAGCTGGAACTACAGGCATGCACTACCACACCTGGCTAATGTTTTATTTATTGTAGAGATGAAGTCTCACCAAGTTGCCAGGCTGATCTCAAACCTGTGGGCTCAGGCAATCCACTTGCCTCAGCCTCCCAAAATGCTGAGATTACAGGCTGAGCCTCCGAACCCAGACCCAGCTAACTTAAAAAAATTTCTTTAGCAGTGGGTCGCACTGTGTTTCCCATTGATGAATACTGTATTTTCAATCCCCAATTGGTTGAATCCTCAAATGTGGAACCTGCTATATGGGGGGCAACTATACATATATCCATCCATCCATCCATCCATCCATCCATCCATCCATCCATCTATCTATCTATCTATCTATCTATCTATCTATCTATTTATTTTGAGTTGAAGTCTCACTCAGTCGCCCAGACTGGAGTGCAGTGGCCGCTTCCGGCCACCACAGCCTCCACCTGCTGGGCTCTGGCGATTCTTCCCCCTCAGCCTTCCAAGTAGCTGGAACTACAGGCGCGTGCTACCATGCCCGGCTAATTTTTTTGATTTTTATTGTAGAGATGAGGTCTTGCCAAGTTGCCTAGGCGGGTCTCAAACCCGTGGGCACAGGCAATTCACTCACCTCGGCCTCCCAAAGGCACAGGATTACAGACTGAGCCACCGAGCCCGGCCCATATATTTATTTATACCATGAAAATGTTTTGGATGGTTTGCCCAAATACATAAACACAACAGCATTTTTTAAAAGATAAATGTGAAAAGTAGGACAAAGAAAGATAAGATGAAACTAGGTTGTGTTCAGTAAGCGATTTATGAAAGGTATCCACAAGTGTGTCTCTGTTCTCAGGGGTAACTTGATTCACAAGCATCATAATTTAAAAACAAACTGGTAGCATGGAAGAGTACCCATGCCTATTTATGACACTTGAGAGGACATGTCTCCAATAGGTCTTCTAAAGAGGACCACAGTGTAATGTGGTAAACAATGGCCTGACATACTTTCTAATATAAATAAGAGCTTCATTGAGCAATATTATTGCATCTAATTGCATACTACAAAAGCAAAGCCCAGTAAGACAATTCTATAAAAAATGAAATAAGACATTCCAAGTATAGACCACTATTCTTCAGTACTTTTGTCAAATTCAATGATTTATTTTAAAGATCTAGAAACAATAGTGAAACTGCATTTTCTTTAGGCAATTCTCATATGTAATTTGTCAATTAAATTTTTCATGTACTGGGTGACAATGAGCTTATTCTTTTGCAGAAGTTTGTTTTATTCACTGCTGCAACATCATTGCCTAAAATGCTACTTAGTACATCGATGCTTAATAAATATTTGTTGTTTAAATGGACAAATGCTGTGCTTTAATGTATCAATTTTATTATTTTATTTTATTTTTTTGAGTTGGAATCTCACTCTGTCGCCCAGACTGGAGTGCAGTGGCCACTTCCGGCCACCGCAGCCTCGACCTGCTGGGCTCCAGCAATCCTTCCGCCTCAGCCTTCCAAGTAGCTGGAACTACAGGCGCGCGTTACCACATCCAGCTAATTTTTTTTTTTTTTTTTATTGTAGAGATAAGGTCTCACCAAGTTGTCCAGGCAGGTCTCGAACCCAGGCTCAGGCAGTTCACTCACCTCAGCCTCCCAAGGTGCGGGATTACAGGCTGAGCCACCGAGCCCGGCTTAAAGTATCAATTTTAAATGAAATACTCCCTCTCAACTATCTGTTGATAGTTCCCTTCTTGTCTCTAAATAAAGTGTGCTACTATACTTTGGGGTACATCATCTTTTTGTGGATGTCCAAACTCATTAAATGTCAATCATTGCTTATATGACTTTTTCAAGCAGGTAATGAAATAAGTATTAACTCTATCCAAGGAGCTCCTTTAGTATTGTTCTCAATAACGTCTCCTTGCTTGATTTTTTTGTTTAGGGCTTTCAAAAGAACCCTTAAAAAGGTTCTTGAAGAAAAGTTGTAAACCTCAATAAAGCAATTTATAACTTAGAAATAGTGTTTCTTCTCAGGACGTCTAAAAATTAAAGTAGATTGACTTTGGAAAATAAGTAAGATGGTTTGGATAATGCTAGCTATGTCCTTTAATGATAATTACTCCCAAATTTTGGAATTTTAGGATTTCTTTTTCTGCTACCTGGTGTCTCCCTATATTTAAAGCAGATTTTATTGAGAAATATTATGTTCTTGTTAGTTTGTCTTTAAATTTTCTGCCATTGTTAAATATTGTATTAGGCTGGGATTAAGTGGATGATTAGAGTGCATCAATTCTGGCAATCCTGTATTCTATAGTAATTATGAGAGATTAACTCACTAATTTATATGCATTCTGAAGTTTGACTATAACATCAGTTAGTGTATGGCTTGCAAAGTCCTCAACTTTTGTCCAAAGCTACAGTCTTTTTGGGGACTATCATTCTACTTCCAATAAAATATTGAAATATCAGTCTTTCTTTGTATTTCTCCATAATTTACTTTTTGTTTGCCCTTCTGTGTATTTTCTGAAATACTTTGTTTTGCAAACTTTACTCTTATATTACTCCCAATTATTGGAACTTGCCTAATTTATAGAAACAGAGGGCTGGAAATAGATTAAGTCATGTATTTCACCCCCAACTTTTAGCCCAAAATATAACTTGACCATTGCAATTAGATATATAGCTATTGTGACTGACCTTCAAAAATAAGGTTTTCCTGTCTTCTTTATTAGCTTATTCTAGGTTTAGCTACACTTGTCTGAAGAATGCCCTATCCTAAAACTCCTGGTATATAGTTAAAGCCTATCACTTCATTAATTCTTTTTTTTTTAAATCAATTAGTTTGCTTATGTTGAATATTTGGAAGATGATAAATATAGAGTTTTTCTTCTAGCTAATAACATGAGGAAAATTGACACGATGACTTCTTGAATTCCTTTTAATCATATCCTAAAATCATAGAGTTAGGAGAGATATGGATGATCTCAAGTTTTTAGGGACTAATTATTTCAAGAGTAGTAGACAAAGAAAAATACCCAGATTTCTTACTCTGTGAAAAATCTATTGAGGTATATAGTAATCTGAGACTTTATTTTGGGGATTTAGGTTATTAGACAAGACAAAATTTCTATCAAATACTTCTAAGCAGTAAGAAATAAGAAAGTACTGCTAATATAGAAGTTTTCTGGATTTTCTTGGTCATTAGCTTTTATCCATTGGTTCTAAAAATTTGAATGCCTTAAAAAAGATTATTGTTTGGGGAACTACAAAGTATGATATGTAGAAAGCCTGATTTATAATTATTTTTAAGTGGGTTTACTACTCTAGACTTCCCCTTTTTTTTTTGGCTAATTTCACTCAGTTTGCTATTTAATCTTTAATTACAGGCCACAAAAGAAGTAATAGAACGGGAAGCGCCAGGGATGGCCCTGGCAATGCTGATGGGATCACTAAATGTTACACCTCTGGGCATGCTCTCTAGGTAAGAAAGTCACCAACATGTTGCAAAGCAAGTTAATTCCATACCACCAATCAATACAGTAGACTGAGAAACCTAAGAAACTTTAGTCACAACACTGAAGTTTGTCCCTTTTTTTCCCCAGAGTTAAGAGACTTAGTATTCTGTTTAGCTAAATCTCAGCCACAGTTTTCTCACCTTTAGAGAGTATTATATTACTGGTAAAAGCTATCAATCCTAACCAGAGAAGAGCCCAATTTTTTAAGATGTACAGCTATTCTTTTTGTGATTGTTTGTGATCATCAATTGATATGCATTAATAGTAGCTAAATGCTAATGTAATGAAACTAAATAGCAGTTTATTAAAATAACTTTTTCTCACAAGTTTGAAATTTTTATTTTAGTTTGTAAATAGGCATATTGATATATGGTCATGAAGAAAAGCTCATTCATATTGATAATCTTTTAACTTGGCAATTTGGTATATTTAAGTTATATTAAATCAAGAATGTACTATTACTATATTAAATTAGTATACTTAAAACTATGCCTTTGTTGATATAGATGTTCACGTCCATCCTTGCTCTGATGGTTTAATTAATTGCTACTAGTTTATTATCTCTTAGATTTAAATGCTCTAAATCCCTAAATGAGGATAATATATATCACTTAAGTTAGATAGAAGTGACAATTTAATGACGATTCAATATATACAGTTGATCTCATAGCAACCTTAAAATACATAGCAACTTCATGATTTTAGAGTTTCATAATTTATAACTATTTGTGTATTCTCTGTGCAATATGAATGTAAAAGTAAATATGTCTATTTAATTGTATGGAATATAAGTTATAATGTTATTTCTGTTACTTAGACTAAGTTTATATCCCATCAAGTTTATAGCCACTTGAAGTACAGCTACAGGAGAATGTGAATGGGTCATTAGTTACCATATTCTCTGCTGTCACATGCACTTTAATATTTGATTTTAATAAGAACAAATAAAGAATTAAGGTAGTATAATAGAGACTGAAAATTTTTAAAGTCCATGTTGCTCTTTAAGGAACTCAAGTTGATTCTTTTATACTGTTCTTTTTTAAGCCCTTACTTATATTACCTACACAAATAAGGTCGAGGGATTCCCTTTTTCCCAATTAAGTAGTAGTTTTTTAACATAAAAGAACTTCTGGTATACAAGGAATATAGTAAATTGCTATTAATTCTCTTGTTAATTCTTTTGTAATACAATTTTAATTCAGTAAACAGAATAATATGCTTATTTGCTGAACCCCAAATTCAGCATTAGGGATGCTAAGAATAGAAACAAAAATAAGAAATGGTCCTCCCCTTAAGGATTCCACAATTTAACTGAAGAAATGATTCTTCGCAACTATTAAGGTAATTCTTTAAATTGAATATAACTCTCTTGATCCAGTATAGAAGGATCATTTTTTTGATTTTTTTTTTCTAGATTAATTTCTCTTCTCCTTTCTGCATCTCCATAATTACTAAGTACTGGGCTGCTGAATGAGTGGGAAATTAATTAGCAGTAGCTGATTCTAATTAATTTGAAATAAGTCCTTCATCTTTATCCTGAAGGCTTTGAAAATTAACACATATACACAGCATGGGAGCACCTTCTTCTGGCTTTTCTTTCTGTGCATTGCTGATTTAACAGAGTGTATTTACAAATTTTGAAACAGACATAGTAATTTACATTAGTTATAGAAAAGGGAATATTTTCATGAATGTTCTTTTTTTGTGCTTCTCAAAGCCTTTTGGAAAAATTTTTATTTTTATAACAGCCATGGTTAGATTGGTGCTTCCTTTCTACAACTTTTATATTTTGTATATTCATTGCGTTTTGTACGTGCTTCTATTATAGAGCAAGTCATGCTGTATTGTAATTAATTATTTACTTGTCTGTGTTACCTAATTTGTAGAAAACTCTTAAAGATGGGCACTTTATTTTATATCCTCACCCCCAAAACAACTTTTGGCACATAGTAAGTACTCAAAAAATGTTTATTGTTATAGTAACTATTGATAAATCAGTGTTTCATCGTAGTTCTACTAGCATTTTTTTTTCTGGTAAATTAATGCATCAGGTTGGTGCCTTACCTTCCTATTTTTATTTCTAGAGAGCAGAATTAAGTAAAAATACGTTTTTAAATCATTATATCTTATGAATTTTGCAGCAACTTGGATGGTTCTAGAGTCTATCATACTCATTGATCTATCACAGAAACAAAGAACAGAGTAACATGTTCTCATTCAAAAGCAGACCCTGAACATTTACCATAATACTGTAAGAAAGGGATTAACAGTAGTGGGATACTGCTGGGGTGGATATGGGAGGGGACACACAACATCAATAAGGATACCTGATCTCAAACCAGGCAAAGTGGGGAACAAAGGGAGGTCCAAACTTTGCCTGTATTATGACTACTTGTATACCTAATACTGAATTGTACCCCACAACCTTAAAATAAAAAATAAACAAAATTTAGAAAATAAATAAATCATTATAACGGTTTAAAATGAGTTTCGTATATGTGGGTTACTTAATATCCTCCAGTTTTGTTTGTGTGTGAGTGATTTGGGAGATATTATGAAGTAATAGTTAAGGGCAACATCTATGCTTATAATAACTGGCTTCTACTATAGTTCAGGCACTTACTAGCTACTTACTTTCTTTTTTGTTTTCTCATCTGTATAATGAAGATGTTAATAGTACCAGATTTCTTGGATCAACTGTTTTAATCCATGTGAAGCACTTAGAACAACAACTAATTCATGGTAATCTTAAATGTTGATCATTGTTGTGTTGTTACTATTTGAGATATCTTTAGAGCAGGTCTGCTGGAAAAACCTTCTTTTGGCTTTCTTTCATCAGAAAGTGTCTCAACTTTATTCCTGAATAATATTTTCACTAGATGCAAAAATCTGGGTTGACAAATCTTTTCTTTCAGCATTAAAAAAAAATCTTGCTCCACTGTCTTCTGGCTCCATGGTTCCTGAGGAAAAATTTGTAGTCATTTGAATTGCTATTTTCTTATGTGTAATGTGTGATTTTTCTCTGGCAGCTTTTGAGATTTTTTTTTTTTCCTTATCTTTGGTTTCAGCAATTTGAGTATGATGTGTCTGGGTGTGGTTTTCTTTTAGATTATCCTTTAGATTTACTGAGCTTCTTGAGTCTGCAAATTTAGGTCTTTAACAAAATTTGAGAAATTTTTAGCCATTGGTTTTTTAAATACCTTTTTTTGCTACTCCTATGATATGAAAATTAGATCTTTTGATGTCTTACAGTTCCTGGAAGCTCTGTTCATTTTGTAAATATTTGCTCTATATATTTTTAGATTGTATATATGATCTGTCTTCAAATTAACTGACTTTCTCTCCTCTTTCATCTTCATTGTGCCTTTGCACATGTCCAGTGAAAGTTTTCATTTCAGAAACACTATTTTTTCCATTTAAAAAATTCCATTTGGCTCTTTTTTATGTTTTCTATTTATCTGCTAAGAATTTCTGTCTTTATATTTATTTCAAAATTATTGACTTTTATGTCATAGAGGGTGCTTATAATAACTGCTTAGAATTATTCTTCTGGCAATCTCAATATCTGCCTCTCTTTGGGGTTGACATCTATAGATTTCTTTTCCCATGAGAAATGGTCAGATTTCTCTGATTCTTTCTGTGTTGAGCAATTTTGGATTATATCCTGGACATTTTGAATGTTACATTGTAAGTAAAATATTATATATTTAACTCCTGTTAAAATCACTTGGAGAATGTTAGTTAGTTTTAGCAATCAACCCGATTAGGCTCAGATTGCAAATTCTGTCTTACTTGCTATATGGTTAGGTTCTGCCCAGCGTGTGAACCATTTCTTTCACATTCTCCAGCTTCCAAGGGACCCTGTTCCCATTTACTATATGCAAAATAGATTTCTTGCAGAATATTAATTCACTTTGTTATTACGTACTTCTACACAACTGGAACTCCTTTGGGAAAAAGAGGCAAAAGAAACAACAAAAAAGGAGATTCCTCCTACCGCAGCTCTTTAGATAATAAGGGCCCCTTTTTTGTTGTTTCTGTTTACCAGAGAGATAGGTCTTCTCTCTGGGATTTAGATACTAGCACCATCATCATCATCATAGTATTGCAGTGCCACCACTAGCCCTAGCCCTATTAAAAACTTATTCGGCAAGGCATGGTGGCTCAAGCCTATAATCCCAACACTTTGGGAGGCTGAGGTAAGGGGATTGTCTGAGCCCACAGGTTCGAGAACAGCCCGGGCAATTTGGCAAGGCCTCATCTCTACAATAAATCAACAAATTAGCCAGGTGTGGTAGCGCGCGCCTATAGTTTCAGCTACTTGGAAGACTGAGGCAGAAGGATCACCTGAGTCCAGCAGGTTGATGCTGGAGTAGCCATGAGCATGCCACTGCACACTCCAGCCTGGGCGATGGAGTGAGACTTCAACTCAAAAACAAAACAAAACAAAAACAAAAACTGTTATTCAAGTTCTGACTTCAGTTCCACATCTGCCTACTATTGTTTACATTAAGTCAGGTGGTCATTGTATTCTGTCCACAATCAGAAGAGAGAGAAGCTATGGTTACCTCTTCCCTTCTGGCTAACGCCAAAAAAAAGCAAGAGTCTTAGGTTTAATGTCAAATCTCTGACTTCAGACATTTAGTAGCAGTATTAACTTGGGCAAGTTACTTTACTAGGCTCAACACTTCTTGTTTCAATAGCTAACTGAACCGCCCACAAAATAGTAGCAAATAACTTCCCTAATCTATCATTTATGCCTTCACTCATTTTTTTTAAAACTCAAATACTCTTTTTTCTCTAAGTTTTATTATAACATAGTAAAGCAACCACTGTGGTTATATATTCAGAAATAGTATGTCCTGAGTTTTATTCTCCATCCTGTTATTCATTTGATTTATGATATCTGCTTAATTTCTTAGGGATATTACATAACTCATAGGAAAGTTATGACATCTTTATGGAT